CTACAATATATATATATATATATATATATATATATATATATATATTTACTCGTTACTCCGTTCGTATTTTACAATTTTACCTTTCGACGAGGAGGAGGAAATCCACGGGACAAACGCCAATAATTCTACGATCCAACGCGCTATTATTCCCCATCGATCACCGACAGTCAACGTTTTCGTCATTAATCACCGATCCACCGAGCCCCATCCCACCAGCACAACCTGGGGTCGTAATCCTAATAAACTGGCGAGCCAACAAACTTCGATACGTCGATGAACCACCTTCGGCGAACAACCGAAGGACGATAATAATGACGATGCCTGGGGGAGGGAGAGAGGAATGTTGTATGGTCAAGTTCGGCAAGCGGCTTTGCGAACTTTCGCCAATCAGCAGGTGGAATCCCGGCCGAAACTCACTGACAATTCAATTACAACTAGGAATTCCCCGCCCTGGATGGTGGAGCCCTAAGCTGGGAAAGTTTGGCGGTTTGGGGGAGGAGGTGACCCACACTTCTCCAAGTGTTATGCAGATTTCTGTTTGGCCAGTCATTAGATCGCAGCCAACGGAAGGGAGGGGGGGGGGAGGGGGGTGTTTGCAGCCACGACGAACGGTCATTACGTAGATAGACCGGCCAGCCAGCCCACGTCCTCCTCCTCGTTTCCAACTTCTCCTTCACAAACAAAAAAAACTTCGATTTTTCGCCAATGATAAATAATTTCAAAACCGCGATTCGCGCGAAGACAGCCCTAAAAACAGCATTGTGCACACTTACCGGCATAGTTTGGCTACCGTGTAAGGTATTGATCGCCGCTAGCGCTTCTTGATGCGATGAAAGTTTTACGAATGCACAGCCTGGAAAAAGAAAAAGAGAGGGGAAAGTTTCGTTAATGGTCGTTTAATTCGTAAATTTTGTTTTTCGGAGTGGCAAGGCACGAGGGATTATTAACATTTCCATCGGAAATATGTTACATTATCAATTTTAAGCCGTATCGCGTTTCCTTGATATCGCGAAACTTGACGAAATATCGTTCTTTTATTTTTTTCCACCCCCTCCCCCCTGTTCGTTCGTCGAGAAAAACTGTTTCACCCCCTGAAGTTTTCGATCGATCGTCCGGAGGATGAAACGGAAAAAAAAAAAAAAAAGGAAACGAAAAATCTCGTTTCATCTCGGAAGGAGATCCTCCCCTCCCCGTTTCCGCCATTGTCGCAAAGTCGAGACCATCTCTAACGATGATGGAACGATTAATCGGCCCCTTGCTCCCTCCCCAGCTACGCGTGCTTATCGTTATAGTTAGATGGAGACGCGAAGACAAAGAACCGGAGGGTGCTTTGAAAAATTGACGCGCCAGCGGAGCGCAACGTGCACTTAATAAAAGATGTTTACCACGAGGAACGGAGGAGCGGTGTCCGTTATCCGGGACACCGGCTCCTTTCGTTTCGACCAATAACGGTTGCGTATCGCAAACGATCCTGAAAAATTGCCACGATCCAGGAATTCGTTCGCGGAATAAATAAATGGATGGAGGAGGGAACGCTCGCGACCGGCCAATGATAATTTTAAACGAATTCTCGAAGGAGAAAGGGAAGAAATGGGTGCGCGCTACGCTTTCGATTCGATCCGCGTCGCGTCGATTTTAACCAGGAAACTTTGGCAAGTTCGTTCGTTTGTTCTTCTCGTTCTTTATCGCGAAAGGATCAAATATTATTACGTTTCGAAAATGTATCGAACTTTAATAACTCTCGATTCGCAACTCTCCAGCAACATCGTATCTTTTTCCCCCTTTTTTTCGTACGAGAAGAAAGACGAACCGTTGCACAACTATTCTCTTCGAACTAATACCCTTCGATCGCTCGAAGAATTATTACCAACAACACCCGTTATAATTATTTCAAATTTAATTAAAACACGCCAAAGTTTCCCGTTCATCGCGAAACCACTCCGCGGAGTATCGGCTCGTATTTCCCCGTTGAAAAAAGGAAAAAGAGGGATGAGGGGAGGGGAGAAAGAGAGAGAGAGAGAGAGAGAGAGAAAAATATTACCCGGGGAAGATAAACTAGGAACATCGTTTTGATGAATTAATAAAATCGTTTGCACAGCTGAGGATACCTTGGGGCATCGAGTTTCAGTTTTATCGGATATAAAATCCTCCGCTATTTAACCGTGTATACATATATACAATATATATATATATATATGTGTGTGTGTGTGTGTGTGTATATATATATATAGCGTTCCAGAGGAGGAGGAGAGTGAGCGACAAGAATGGAGGGAGGAGGAATGTCCGAAATCGGAGATAAAAGCGATCCGAGGGGTGGGTGGATAAGATTTTCTCGCGATTCAATCCCTGTCGTCGCAAGAATTTGTCCGAGCTCGTTCCGGCCCATACCGCTATTCCTTCTTGTGCAAGCGAAATCTCCGACTCTCGAGGACGATCTTCAGATTTTTCTTCCCCCCCTCGTTTCTTCGGAGAAGCTAGACGAAAATAAAAGAGTCGAATTTCTCGAAAGTTCGACCCTCCCGTATTTGTATTCTCGCGTTTTTTTTTTTTTGGAAAAGTTGGATTCCTTCACTCGAAATAAGTTTTCGAAGGGAGTTGACAAAGTTACGTTTATTATTTCTCTCTCGAAAAAAGTTGTTCTTAATTCGTTCTTGATTGAATTTTGATTTTTCCCCAAAACGAAACGTTTCTCGCTTCCACGAAAAAATAGTATTTAAATAGTATTTTCATTACTCGAATAGGAATCCCGTTTTACTTGCCATATTTCCAATCTATCTCCAAACAAGAGCCGCTGGCTTAATTAACCCTTGAAACGTGGCTCTTGCAAAATAATTTACAACGTTTAAATCGAATTCTTTTTCTTTCGATTCACTTTGTAAATTTGTTACATTTTGCACAATTAAGGAGGAGCTGTTGTAAAAGAAAGAAAAATTAAGAAAAACTAAGATAGCTCGCCCCTTTAAATAATAATTTCCACCGATCCCTTCGTGCGCGTGTGTCTCCTTCCCTCTCGAAAACTATGTTTGGCCCCCCTCGAATAACGGCGAACAACAAACACTGGACAAACCGCTCCGGCCCTCCACCGACGACGACGAGATGTAGACCAGTTTCGTGGATCTCTCCCATTTCTGTCTCGAGCCGACCCCTTCGCGACCCATCCGCCTCCTCCTCCACTGTTCTCTCCTCTCCCACACCCGCCCTCGAACCACGAACCAATCGATAACGCCTGCGAGACTTTCCACTCATATATTTGATTGCTCGGCAAACATGTCTAAGTTTATTCTGCGGACCCCCCTCCCCCCTCCTCCCCTCCTCTCCCTCCCATCCATCCATCCATCCATCCATCCATCCACCTACAATCCCCCTCCACGTCCAAGCGCTAACGCGCGCTGCTTGCGCCGGTTTTATAGTCCGGCGAGCCCCAGACTTTCGATACCCTCTTCCTCGTTGGAAACTCTCCAAAGGAGAAGGAAGGAGGATGATTATGATGCGAGGCGAACTTTTCTTTTTTCTAATCTTTTTATGCTCGAGGTATTATTCGATCGGTATTTGATTATATGAGTCGTGGATGGAGGAGAAGAAGAAGGGGGTAATCGAAAAACGGACGTTTTAATCCAACCCCTTCCTTCCTCCGGATAATCTTCGGCCGCGATTTCGTCTCAGTTTTTGATCCAAGGACGAATGCTCGATCGTGAAAGTTTCGATCGAGCGAAACTGTACTCTCGATTTTTGAAACAAGTAACACTCGTAAGCAATCTCTCTCGTTTCGGTTTTTCGTTAATCCCGTCGAAAGGGGCAGCGCGAAATTATTGATCACTCTCGTTACACGTGGAAAAGAACTTATGGAAGAGAACTTATATATCGAGCGAGAGTTACACAATTGAATTTATCCATTCGTGGAGGGTCTAATTGTTTTTGAAGAGAGAAGTCACGGTGGAGGAAAGATTATCGGTGGCGCGGTTTATTCCGAAAACTTTTCGGTTCGACGCGATAAATTAACGTTGCCCTTTTATTTGCTCTGCCATCGAAGCAGCCGTTCACGACGTGAAAATAATACGATGGGGAAGTGTGTTTTCGTTTTTATGCAAACTCGGAATGAAAAATAACTCGAAACTAACTGTGAACCCCGTGTCATCTGCGTTCGAATTGCGAGCAAACAACGAAATTCAATGCAAATCGACGATGCGGGGTATGTATTTGCCCCCAACTGCAACAGTTGGAATCGTGGATGGAATCAACATTGGCCGCGCTCGCTTATGATCGCATTTTCTTTCAACCGACAACGATTATTACGCGCGATCCTTTCGCTAGAAATTTTAATTTTAATCTAGAGGAAATTCAACACGATCATCATCGGTCGTGTTAATATCAATAACAGCAGCTTTTATAGGATATTATGCTCTTCCTTGAGGCGCAACTGTAATTACAAATCTGTTATCAGCTGTTCGTTATATACAATAGGAGGATTACGAATTTGAGGAGGATTTTCAATCGATGACGCAACCTCAAATCGATTTTTTTCTCTTCGTTTTATTTTACCTTTGGCCAAGATCCACAAACGATCGAATTCTCTAAAATATCACGATGATTAATTTAACCCTTTGCAACACAACTCCACGCGATTTCTCGCGCTCGTTCGACGACGCACAAATTAACTTTTATATTTTAATATCTTATCTATCTTTATATCTAGAGAGAAAAGAAAATTTGTCGAATATTGAAATCTAAGTAATTATCTTAAAGTAATAACGTGTTCTCACATTCATCGTCCACTATTCTTATTTTTCATTTTCTCTTATTAATTTCTCAATGAATAGAAGTAATTGTTCACAAAATATATTTCGAATAGATCGAAAATGTAGTTCGATCCATTCGTCTAATTTCAGATAAAAAGATCTAACCATTCGATAATATGTTATACAAGTAAACAGTTTAGGAATCTATTCGTGAAGCGATATTTTAAAGAAATCAAACGTAAATAATTGCCGTATCAATTCAAGCGGTGCCTGAGAGTCGCAAAGGGTTAAAATTAGAGAAATTAAAATCAATGATCGATTCTCTTGGATTGGACGGGGGATAAATATCCCTTTGAGGAAACGGATCGTCCCTGTCACAGGCGAGCTTCCTATTGTCATTTCGTATCTAACGTCGAATCGCACGTTTTACGCGTTTTTCAAACGCGTTTCGATGCCACAAGCATACAAACGAAATTTCACGATTATCAGGCAAGAATAAAAACGAAATTTTTTCCCCAAAAATGGAACCGATTCGCATAAAAGCGAAAAGCATACAAATGAAATTTCAAATTTTCTTTGCTTCACGATTATCACGCCTCTCTCTATCCAAGTCAAGAGGCAAGAATAAAAACGACATTTTTTCCCCAAAAATGGAACCGATTCGCATCAAAGAGACGCCTCGTTTTACACGTTTTCGATGCCACAAGCATCAACAAATGAAATTTCAGGATTATCCGTCAGGGGGCAAGAAATAAAAGCGAAATTTTTCCCTCAAAAATGGAACCGATTCGATGGAAAAATGGGGCCGTATAATTGAGATATCAAATTTTCCTTGCTTCTCCAATTGCCACACCCCTCTAATCCGTCAGGAGGCAAGAAATAAAAGCTCAGTCCCCCAAAAAATGGAGGCGATTCGCAGATTCAAAGATGGAGACACGCGGGCAAGGGTGATGAAACCGGTAAAAGAGCAAAACGGTACGTGTAAATCGTGGGAACATGTGCTCGATAACTACCGTTTGAGTTGGCGGCATGACATGCAGCTTGTGTGTCGACACCGGACCAAACGAATCAATTTCATTGATGAAGCTACTAAATCCGGCCCGGGTTGAACGCGAGC